AAATGTATCACCCTGATCCCGTATGAGTGCTATAACAAACATCCGAATATTTGTTGTGTTATTAACACATACACCTAATAACACAAATATTCTCAGGTGGTCGCCAATCCAGGCATGTTTTAACAGACAAGTTTTCAATGAATTGGTGTGCACCCTCCGCAAAACGTGTAGAGAATATCCCGTCTGAGAATATTTGTGTTATTAGGTGTATGTGTTCATAACACAACATATATTCGGACATTTGTTATAACATTCATACGGGATCAGGGTGACAGATGTTGATGTGCATAGAATGAACAATGGACATTACATTTACATGTATTGTTCACATGACATTACATTTACATGTATTACATGATTTACATGTTTTTTTAATGCCTATTGATTTTATGGGAGCATATTGGTTTGAAACAATAAAGATCAACTTTTGTTTTTATATAAAAGGCATTTTGTGTGAGTTGTTACTTTAAAAGTCCGACATTAATTTTTGGGGATATGGTTAGTGATGATTTTTGTGGATGTGGTACCCCTCAACAACCACTGATTGGTATACAATAGATTATATCTAGTTTGTATAACACTGACAATGTATGCAGCACATTCACATCAGTCTCTGCCCTCAAGGAGCTTACAGTCTAAGGTCCCCGTAGCTCACATGCATACACGCTAGGACTAGCACTAAGCCACTGTGCTACCCTGATTAGCTGGGGATAATCAGTTTTGTGCGAGTTTTGTGCGCTTGACATGAACATAATCTTGTTACATTGTCTAGATTTCTGCATCTCTGTTGGTAATGGTAGTGGTGTGCCTGTGTGTGTTTGAGTGCATGTGTATGTAATATCCCATTATACTCTAGAATCAACTCATCAATACAGGTACCACTGTGCATACATGATGAGACAATCTAAAAAACTACAGCATATAGTAGAACCTTGTCTTTACATATTTAGGTTACACTATGTGGTGTAGTTTTATGGTATCAGGGCACCTTGGCCCTATGTTAAGACATATACCGTGGTTGTGCCATTATTCAAAAATAGATAAATGAATTATGATACTTCTACGTTTATCTCAGAGAAATTAACTAATACATATGTATACCGGAAGACTGGAACACATACCTGGGTGTCCCTAATCTGTACTGTTTGTCAGGGATCTCAAACTCAATTCACTTGGGGGCCACTAAACAAATATTCTTCTTCCATGGGGCTGCTTGCCAAATTTCATAAAATGTCCTACTTCGAAATAAAATGGAACTTTATAGGGTACCAGTGTTAATGTCTGCGTGCTTATAATGTCAGTATATTTTTTGTGTTGGTTTGTGTGTGTGTATTGTCAGGATTTCTGTGAGTGATGTTGGTATGGGTGTTAATGATTCTGTGTGTGTAATATCAGTATGTATACATGTGTATACGTGTGCAGTGGCAGTATATGTGTGTGTTTTGTTTCCCACAGGTTTTAATTTTAAATCATAGAAAACTAACAGATTCACACATTTATTCACACACAGAAATATTGCATCCCCCCAGACAGAAATGCGCACACAGAGAAATACGCACACACACAGAAATACACATGCACAGACACACACACACAGAAATATGCACATCCACACACGCATAGAAATACGCACTCACACAGAAATATGCACACAGAGAAATACGCACATACAGAAATATGTGCACAGAGAAATACGCACACACACACAGAAATATGCACACACTGAAATGCACACACACCACATTCACACCTGTAAGTTTAGGTGCGATTAGGTATTCCTGTGTCAGGAACCTGTGGCTTCCTGCAGAAGCACTACCCATTCTGGCGTTTACAAGCAGCAGCTGTCACCCATTCAAGTTAATGATCTGGTAACAACCGCTGCATGTAAACACCTGCACACTGCATGCACGATCAATGTGTCCAGGGACAGTTACTGATTTCTAACCGCATGTAATCATATCACATATGATATGCGGTATGCCGACGTTTACATGCAGCAGCTGTCACCAGATCATTAACTTGAATGGGTGACAGCTGCTGCTTGTAAACACCAGATTAGAGATTCCGGCTGCAGGAAAATGCAGGTTCCTGATGCAGGAATCCCTAAACACACCTAAACTTACAGGTGTGAATGGGGTATAATGCACACACACACACACACACACACACACACACACACACACACACACACACACACACACACACACTAATGTACAATAATACTAGCTATTGTAGAATATCAATGCAGATACACTAAAAATACTAGTACTTTATTTATTCTGTGGATCTGCATTTTCTTCATCCCTCCTGCTGCCTTTTGATCATTACCTTAGCAGTCATCAAATCCCCACTCACTGAGGGGTGGATCTAACATAAAAAAAGCAAAACCCTGTTCCTCTACCAAGATGGTCCTCCTTCACATGTAGACAATCTATTAGATTGTTAGCTCTTATGAGCAGGGCCCTCCTAACCCTGCTGTATTTAAATTGTATTGTAACTGTCCCTCCATTTTGTAATAAATAATAATAACAAGGCATTGAAGGTCAGTAATGTGGAAAAGATCAGCGGCAGGCAGCCTAGAGGCAATACTGGTGACAAGAGATGACGTTTGGGTTTGCCACTACCAAAGCCTCAAGGTGAATCTTGTGTGTTCAATGTTCGCAGTCCTGGTGAATTTATAGTGAATTTTGCCAGACTGAATTTGCTTTTACAAATCGTATAGCTAATGGTTTATACTGAGCATGCTTCTTTATTAGTTTTATCTTTGCCACAAGTTCATTCCAGCACCATTTGCTTTTTGACAAACACCGCTCCATTTCGAGGTTAGTCTTGTTATATGTAGGACAGACAGAAATATGTGTGCCCTTCCAACAAGGTGAAAATGTAGTTTTATTTCCTATAAAGAATACAGTTTATACTGACATTAATCACTGTATTTGACTCCATCATGTATCAATTGTTTTATAAATACCTCTATGGACAGTTGTCACTTAGAGGTTTATAGTGACAGTAACTACGGCACTGTAGGCACAGAATGGACTGCTACATCTCATGTTACCTCTTTAAACTGCCACAGCTGACACAAACCCTGAGATTCAATAAACACTTGCATACCTATAATGATCCTGCGCTCTGCGTTCTTAGCATTCTTCCTTCTCTTACAGTACATAGTGTATACTATAGGCGCAGACAGACAGACAGCAGGCAGCTCTTTAGTTGTAAAGAACTACATTGCGCAGCATGTCTTCTATATCTCTTCCTTCACTATACCCAGACACGTGGCAGCCCTCCAGCTCATAACTACATGATCCAAAATGTTGCGCACCATCTTCCTTCATTTAATCTAGTGTACTTCTCTTGGCAATACATTGTCACTACTTCTCGCAATCATATTTACAGTTATCTTTCAATTTGCTTGTCTGCAATCCAGGCGAATGTGTCATATCAGAATTCTGATTTGATAGTTTACGAATATTAGCTATGTCTAGTACACAAGCAAAATGTACAGATATTTGTCACCAACCATGTTCCCTTTGGTCTGTTGCTGTTTTGTGTGTTCTCTTTTCTTTCTAATGGAAATTATAACTCATCAGTCTTGTACTTAATCTCTAATTTATTTTGGATCCAAATGCACAGAGAGTCTCTTACTGTTTCCACTATTTCATTAATCCTGATCATTTCATGGCCTGAATTCTGGGAAGACAGTTATTCTAAAGTTCCAAATGTACGAGAACTCTTAGGGATGGCAGCTGTAGGCTGAGAAGGGGTTAATCTTTGTGGTGGGCCTGTGCTCATGGATATCTCTCATTCCTCTGCTTCTTGTATTATAAACAGCAGTTATATGTTACAAACAAAACCATTTAAAGGCAGGGAACGTTGTGACAACGTCATGTAGAACAACAAGGCGCTCGACAAGAGCGTTACCTTCTGTGCTAAGCAAATGCAATTGTGCTACACACCAAGGCTTCAAGTGGTTATTACATTAAAGCACATCTGTCACATGTAACATAAGGCCATAGCCTTGCCAAGCTCGATGAGAGACTAACGAATTGATGCTGCCATTTTAATCAGCAATTCTGGTGGATTTTATTTAAATATATGATGCTTTCTGGCAGCTTATCAGCTACATGGGAGCTCCAAAGAGGCTGCATGGGGTCAGAACTCTACATGATGACTTTTGTGTATAGTATGTTTCTGTCCACCTGTCTATACCAGCCTTCTTAACCAGAGAGCCATGGCACCCTAGGGTGCCTGCTTGCTTTGTTTCCATGGTGCAGACGAGACAGCCACCAGTACCATGGAAACGCTTGATGCTAATCCAGGATGCGCTACATGCAGGACCTCCCTCAGCATTTAGAAGGGGACAGAAGTCTGCCTCTGTACAGACGTGCCCCATCTACTGTGCTGCCACAGCTGTGTGGTGGAGAGTATAAGGTCAGAACTCTGCTCTTAAGGGGGACTGAGCACTATGATGTGATAGGGGGGGGAACTCCTGATGTGAAGGGGAACTCTGATGTGAAATGGGGACTCTGATGTGAAAGGGGCACCTGATGTGAAGGGGATTATGTGAAAGATGTGAAAGTCCAAAGTTTAATGGTTGTGACCACATCAGAAGGTGAGAGGAAATCTTCCAATAGGGACATTCTGGTGATAACTGTGTCACAGGGGTTCTGGCTACACTTTAGGCTGGGTTCACACCTGGGCGTTTCCTATGTGCACGTTTTTTATGTGCGTTTTTTCCGGACGTTTTTTGAGCGTATTGTTGAGGTGGATGTGGAATTGATGGGGCTGGTATAGGGGCAGTAGCATGTTGTGAAGAGCCATCAGGGAAAATTGCAGAGCTTCACGTATTTCTGACTTTAGAATAAAAGGCACCCTTTTCAGTTTTTCCTCCAAGCTGAGCAGGAAATGGGCCTTGCCTGAAAGCTTGGGGACAGGATGAGACATGGCCTCAAGTACATCAATGAGCCTGTCCCCCTCTCGTTCAGGCCTCTGCCTACGGGGCCTGAGATTTGTACGTCTGCGTACAGGTGCCTGGGCTGGTGGGGCAGACGGGGTTGGTGGTGGTGTACGGTTTGGTGGGGGTGGGCTCAGTCCCCTGTGTGGCCGAGTCCTCCTCCTCGTCCTCTTCCTGCCTCACAGTAGGCTCCCAGCTACGGTCGGTGCTGTCATTAGGAAAGAATACATTAGTATGTGCAATATATTATTCTCTGCATTTTATATAAAACAATATCCATGACTGTAATAAACATTGTAATTGACGTGACTTACCTACGCATTTCCACACATGGAATCAAAAAGGAAAGCTGTTCTGCGTGTATGTATCTTGAGGGCGCACTGGCAGCCGATCCACTCCTATATTCCCTCTCCTTGCGCCTGTGGTGCATAAAGGCGTCCTTCACGCTCTTCCATTTATCCTTTAGCATATTGACTGTGGAAACAAAATGTAAACATGAACTAATTAAATTTTTACTTTTATCTGTCATTTCCTAGGTATTTAGCTACTGGACAGTCATCGGCTAGTCTGCACTACGCATTTATGATTGGGAAATCGACTGCAAGCAAGATCATCCAGGAAACATGCTGTGTGATATGGGATGTCCTGCGTGATGTGGTCATGTCCAAACCCACCAAGTAGGAGTGGATGCAAACAGTAGAAATTTTTGCCACCACATGCAATTTTCCGAACTGTGTGGGAGCCATAGACGGAAAACATATTAGTGTCATTAAACCGATTAGGAGTGGCAGTAGATTTTTTAATTATACATTTTTATTCCAGTGGTCCTTTTTGCCGTAGCTGATGCCAACTACTGCTTACACTACATTGATGGGGATCCTATGGCAGCAGCTCTGACTCGGCGGTATTCACCCATTCAGACTTTGGACTGATGCTGCGTCACGGTGATCTGGACCTCCCGGGGAACACCACGCTGCCTGGTACCGTTCATCCTGCAATGCCTTTCGTCTTTGTAGGAGACGAGGCATTTGCTCTGGGTGAGCATCTTATGAGGCCCTACTCAAGCCGTGGACTGAGGCTGGAGAAGAGGGTCTTCAACTATAGGCTTACCCGAGCACGCAGGGTGGTGGAGTGTGCCTTTGGCTTTCTGCACTCACCAATAAATCTGAAAATAGAAAACGCTATAGATGGATTTCTATTTGATGATTCATTGGTGCATTGCATGGAGAGTAGCCATTGGAGTGGCAGCCGTGGTACCACGCATGGAGGCACCATTCGGGACCAATTTGCTGCATATTTCATGTCACCTGAGGGGGAGGTGTCATGGCAAATGCAAGCAATTCAATCATGATTAAAAAGATAAATACAAACCTTTCTCATTGCTCTGTGCCTAATAAAGTTTGTTTGAATATAACTAATTTCTGAGCCTTGTTTTTTCTAATATTGAAATGCACTGCATAGCATGCACACATGTCACATGATAGCACTGCACACATGTCACATGAAAACACTGCAGACATGTCACATGAAAGCACTGCACACATGTCACATGAAAGCACTGCACACATGTCACATGAAAACACTGCATGCATGTTACATGAAAACACTGCATGCATGTTACATGAAAACACTGCACACATATCACATGAAAACACTGCACACATGTCACATGAAATGTGACATGTGTGCCTCTCCGCTGTCAGAATGCGGAAGTGGTGTATATTACATCACTTCCGCATTCTTGTGTCACTCTCCAGCTTCAGATGCTGGAGAGAAGCTGATGAAGCAGATCTTTGCTTCATCAGCTTCTTCAGGGGGGTCCTAGGTGACATTAGGGGTCTTGGAGACCCCTGATGTCTCCATAAAGAGGACCTGTCACATATTTTGCTATCACATAAGGGGGTTTTCTAACCCCCCTATGTGATAGCAATAAAGTTTCCCCCCAAAAAATGTAAAGTTACAAATAAAAAAGAATTAATGAAAACACTGCATGCATGTTACATGAAAACACTGCATGCATGTTACATGAAAACACTGCACACATATCACATGAAAACACTGCACACATGTCACATGAAATGTGACATGTGTGCCTCTCCGCTGTCAGAATGCGGAAGTGGTGTATATTACATCACTTCCGCATTCTTGTGTCACTCTCCAGCTTCAGATGCTGGAGAGAAGCTGATGAAGCAGATCTTTGCTTCATCAGCTTCTTCAGGGGGGTCCTAGGTGACATTAGGGGTCTTGGAGACCCCTGATGTCTCCATAAAGAGGACCTGTCACATATTTTGCTATCACATAAGGGGGTTTTCTAACCCCCCTATGTGATAGCAATAAAGTTTCCCCCCAAAAAATGTAAAGTTAAAAATAAAAAATTATTAAATTTTTTTTAAAGTCCCCCCCATACATACACACATGCAAACAGGCGTCGGGTGCGCATATGTGTGAAAACGACGATTTCGCCCATTACGCCGCACATGTTGCATATCGCTGCGAACGTCGGAATGAGAGCAATAATTGTAGGGCTATCAATCACTGATAACACTAAACTGATGAGCGGTAAAAGCTTTTAAAGCGTCGCCTATGGCCAATTTTGGGCATGGTCATTTTTTGCGATTTTGCAGGTGCGCGCAATTTTAAAGCATGACATGTTTGGTGTCTATTTACCTGACGTGACCCCGTATTTTATATTTTACCAAAAATATGGGTGATAAATGGGTGTGGTTACTGGGGGTGTGGCCACGGAGGGGTGTGGTCACTGAGGGGCGCTGTAAAGCTTTCTCGCACAGGGCGCCTAAAGGCCTAAGGCCGGCCCTGAATGCAAGAGGTGCTGAGGGAACACCCAAACCTCCAAAGTAAGTAGAAGATTAGCAAGCAGCTGCAGGGCAAAAACTCGCAAAGTGGAAAACAATTTGGGTGAACCTACCCTTTAAGAAAATGTGAAGAAGTGAAAGTCGTATTGTCGTTCTAACAAACCCCTCATTACACCCCACAGGGAAAGCCAGTATCAGGTGTCTGTGCAATGCATTAAGGCTCATTTAATCAAAACAATTGTGCATATTATTGCATGTATCATTCTACAGAAAGATCCTGTGGTGGTCAGATCTTTCAATTGCTATCTTACATTTATGGGTAACCTTAGATTGTTTTAACACGTAAAAATTAGAAAACAGTTGCATATTACAGCTAGTAGGTGCAGAGTCAGGCTGAGCTGCCACATAATCAGAGGATCTGCTTATTTTTTTTTCTGTTTGGTATCTTCTTGCCCCCTTACTGGCCTGCACCATCTATTTCTTCCTTCCCTTTTTCTGTCCTGTCCTTGTGCCTATCATCCTCAGCACAACAATAGCGCAGTAATCCACCACCAATTATTTAGTAGATAAAATACTATACACCATCAATATTATAGAAACCTGTTAGCTTCTACAGAACACTTGGACATGCAGCAATTCACTAATTAGACAAAGTAACATTAACATTTTGCCAAGCCTCTCAGTGTCTGGATTAATGTTATAATGTAACCATAAATTCACTGTAGGTGCTGCTTTTTATAATAATTCTCTGCAGCATCCAGGCACAGGGTTTTTACTCTGTTGGCAGTACAGTAAATCTGGCCCTCTGATCATTTTCCAAGGCAGATTAACCATTGATTATCACTTATTGGATGTGAACTGGTAAAGGTATCCATTAACTATGTAACTTGCTCTGTTCCAGAATGGAGGTACCTGGCCCACCCTTACTCTCTTTTGCAGCATGGGTCTCCCAGCCACCGCTACTGATGGTATTTGCCTTGGCATAGTCCGGATAGGGGCAATCGCATTGGGCTGCCCCATCTTTCTATAACAATGATAGCATCAGCAAAGGTGAGCTAGTTAATATGAAAGTGAATTGGTAAGGGGTCCAAACAATGGAGTAGTTTTCCCCAAAACCAGCAATCCACAATGATAATCTAGTCAATATAAACTGGTCTGATTCAGTAGAACTCTTATTGTCATTTTCACATTTTCAGGGTAACTTTAGACAAAAGTCAGTAATAAATGGGCAAAATTCTTATGAATCCAACATAATGTTTTTTTCGAGTTTTGTATTTTTGAAAAGGAAATGAAGCCTGCCTGTGGCACATCACAGAGGCAGTGTTGTGCCTGTGGCACAACACTGCCTCTGTGAGTTGGCGTCACAAGCTAGTAATTGTACATAATGCAATTTCATTTAAAGCACATGCAAACACTAACAGTGATCTTCTATTATTTGCTTACTTTTGGTCATTAAATATAGCAATGACAGCGTTTTGCTCAAAAGTTTGCATACCCTGGCAGAAATCGTAAAATCTTGGCATTGATATTGAAAATATGACAAATCATGCCAAAAAACTCTTTAATTCAAGGATAGTGATTATATTAAGCCATTTATTACCACATAGTTGTTTGGCTCCTTTTTAAATCATAATGATAACAGAAATCACCCAAATGGCCCTGATCAAAAGTTTACATAACCGGGAATGTTTGGCCTTGTTACAGACACACTAGGTGACCACACAGGTTAAAATGGCAATTCAAGGTTAATTTCCCACATCTGTGGCTTTTTGCAAATAGTGTCTGTGTATAAATAGTCAATGAGTTTGTTCGAGCTCAGGTGGATGCACTGAGCAGGCTAGATACTGGGCCATAGGGAGCAGAAAAGAACTGTCGAAAGACCTGCGTAACAAAGTAATCAAACTTTATAAAGATGGAAAAGATATCCAAAGCCTTGAAAATGCCAGTCAGTACTGTTCAATCACTTATTAAGAAGTGGAAAATTCGGGGCTCTCTTGATACAGAGCCAAGGTCAGGGAGAGCAAGAAAGATTGCAGCCACAACTGCCAGAAGAATTGTTCGGGATACAAAGAAAAAGCCAAAAGTAACCTCAGGAGAAATACAGGCTGCTCTGGAAAAAGACGGTGTGGTTGTTTCAAGCAACACAATACGACGATATTTGAACAAAAATGAGCTGCATGGTCGAGTTGCCAGAAAGAAGCCTTTACTGCTCCAATGCCGCCTCACAGCTTCTGGCAATTTGGAGTGACGAGATCAAAATAGAGCTTTATGGTCACAACCATAAGCACTATGTTTGGAGAGGGGCCAACAAGGCCTATAGCAACAAGAATAGCGTCCCCACTGTAAAGCATGGTGGTGGCTCATTGATGTTTTTGGGGGGCTCTAAAGGCACGGGGAATCTTGTGAAAATTGATGGCAAGATGAATGCAGGATGTTATCAGAAAATACTGATAGACAATATGCATTCGTCTGCACGGAAGCTGCCCATGTGATGCTCTTGGACTTTCCAGCACAACAATGACCCTAAGCCCTAGGCCAAGTTGACCCTCCAGTGGTTACAATAGAAAAAGGTGAAGGAGTGGCCATCACAGTCTCCTGACCTGAATTTCATCGAGCCACTCTGGGGAGATCTCAAACATGCCGTTCATGCAAGACATCAAT